CTGACAACTTCCTGTCATCACTGCCTGCCCCCACCCCCCGCCCCCCTGCCACTGTTAGGATTTCCCATGGCACATTTCCCAGGTCCTCCTCCTCCCTTGGGCCTGTCCTCCCCGATCTCCCTTTCCCTTTACTGACCCTTTGTCCTCAAAACAGCTGTTTCTGGGTCAAGGACCTTGCTCCAGGCCTGTGGGTGTGCGCTGCCTCCGGGGTTAAGGACAAACCCTCCAATGTGAGGGGTAACAAGATAAACCAAATCCTCATCCCAGAACAGGGGGGAGGGGAGCTGGATGGGGGCCCTGTGCCCTGGAGGCGGGGCTGTCTTTCTGGGACTCTTGGTCCGGCTGGAGAAGCGGCTGTGACCCGCGGACACAGGCTCTCTGTCCCCCGGGGCCACCTCACAAGCTCCAGCCCAGCTGCCAGGTTTCCCTGGATACAGCCCGGTCGCCGAGGATTTATTTTTGCATATGGTTTGGGAGAATCTCTGTAGCTGGAATAACGACAACCTTTTTTTTCCTTCTCCTTCCCTCCAATAGGCAGATTTTATAAACCAGAGCAGCTGCCTGAAGGTTTCCAAGAGAAAATTCTGCACAGTTTCTAACCAGGGTGACAGTTCCCCTCCACAGGAAGTTGCTTTTATTTATTAAGGTTTCTTTTATTATCTCTTTTTTGTAAGACTCCACCTGTCGGTCGTCGGGCAGCACCTTGGGCCTTGCGGGCATTTTTGTTTTTCCCCGGTTTGCCTGGAACTCATGATGACATCTAAACCACAGTGGGCTTGCCCAACACAAGGGCAAAGTTGAACGGCTGAAAAGTGGGTCACTCACATCGCCTGCGCAGAAGAATCCCAAGTAATTTATGGAGCTACTCCCCCATCAAGGAGGGGGAACATAACTCCACCCCTTAAGTGGGCTACACATAAAAATTTCTTTCCAAAGAGGACAGTACGGAAAGGGGTAACTTTGCAGTGGAGAAATCTGACAAGGGCTATGTCAGCCGGGTGATCGAGGTCAATATCAACAGTGACCAGTCATGCTGATAGCAGCTACCCTTGATACGATGTGATGAGAATGGTGCTTTACCTCCGTGGTCTTCCTCCCAAAACCCATAACCCCAGCTGAACCATGAGAAAAACATCATACAAACCTCAATTGAGGGACAGTCTACAAAATACCTGAGCAGTACGCCATCAAAAACAAGGAAAGTCTGAGAAATTATCACATCCAAGAGGAGCTTAAGGAGACATAACAACTAAATTAAAGTGGTATCCTGGATGGAATCCTGGAACAGAAAAAGGACATTAGGTAAAGACGAATGAAATCTGAATGAACTGTGGAGATTAGTTAATAGCAATGTACCAATGTTGGTTTCTTAGTTGTGAAAAATGTACCGTAGTCATGTCAGATGTTAACAATAGCGGACACTGGGTCAGGGCTTTATGGCAACTCTGTATTATCTTCACAGCTTTTTTGTAAATCAAAGACTATTCTAAAGTAAAGTTCATTTTTTAACAAGTGGGTCACATGTCTGGGTTTCAGGCAATCCCCAAGACCCATTTCTCTTTGGTTCCCTCTTTTTGCCGGCATTAAGGATCTGAGCTGCTGCCTTTGGGGGTATCCAAGCCCCTAGCTCCCAATCTCATTTCCATGGGAACTATCCTCATTTTCAAGCCCAGGGAAAACTCCCATTTCCCGTCATTGTGTACCCAATTAGCCAAGCCAGGGACCTGACCCATAGTAGGTGCTGAGTTGGTATTCGTCAAATGAATGAAACTCGAGGGGGACCCGTCGAAGGAGGAAGGGGGGACCCAAGTGGAAAGCCAAGCTCTTCCCTCCCCAGGGCAAGAAGTCAGTACCTGCTAGTCTCCATCCGGAGAAGGAAGACTTCCAGCAATCTGGTTAGAAGTGGGGTAGGAGGCCTCTCGTGCCACTGCCTTTGAAGAGCAAGCACGTGGATTTACTTAGGATTGTATTTATTAGGTGCTTTGGGGCGCTGATGGAGATAATGAGAGGCAAGCTGATTGCTCCATCCCTTCACCCTGTGGTGATGCCTCCACTGCCCCTCAGTACCCTTGGGGTGTCAGCTCTGGGCTGACCAAAACCATCTGCAAAGCAGCTTCATGCAACAAGAACCGTTTGCTAGGTCTTGACAGTCCATTGCCTGGCACATAGTAGACACTTCATATATGTTCATACAATGGCTCCCACTTATTACGCACCAGGCCCTGTGCTCGGGAGATGGAAGGGGTTCCTGTTTAATCCTTTGTGCTGTAGGCTTTGTCATCAGCCCCGTTTTATAGAAGAGGCAACAGAGGCCCGAAGAGCTTGAGAAACTGGCCCCCAAGTCACATCTAGCAAGTATAGGAGAGAGCCTTCAAATTCAAGTCATCTAAGGCCCAAATCCACACCCTTTGCTCTCACCCCAGCCACCCTAATATCTGCCTGTTCCGCCGGGCCCCGAGGGCCTGAGCGTTTGCTGCCTGCTGTCTGCAGAGGCACCTCACGCTCACTCCTTCATCTGTGGCCTCCAGACAGCAGTAATTTTCAAGTCTCTTTCTTTTAAAACTTAATTTGCCAATTTTCCCTTGGAGTTGCTTTTTGATATTCCTTCAGGCTGTTAGCCTGGACAGGCCACAGAAGCGGAATCCAGGGACAAGGATGCTTAGTACAAGCATTCAATTAGTGAAGTTGGAATAAGGCAGCCCTGGATGCTCCATCCACACACGCCTCGAGACACCCTCCCCCACCTTGGACTTTGAATGGCCTTTTTCATATTTATCGCTACCTGACCAGATACTTCAAACAGCTCCTGCACTTGGTATAATTTGATATCTGCCCAGTTCCCGAAGTACCTTCTCTACAAACATTTACCCTGATGTTAGAGTATATTTAGAAGATTTATATTTCCTTTTGCTGAATGGAGTCCCCGGGAAAGGGAAAGGCAGACTCTGACTTCCCAGGCAGAGGATGCTGCCTTGGCTGACTGGGGTGGCCTCCCGCAAGAACATGTTAATACATCACTTATTAAAATGGCCCTGGAGCCCTGGCCGAGGGCTCCCACGCTCCCCGCTTCTCCAGGGCTTAGCTGACCATATCCAAACCCTGCCTCCCTTCACAGCCCTTACGCAGCTGTCTGTTGTGCAGAACAGTGGGGGAGCCCAGCCTTAAAACAAGGAACTCACAAAAGGATCTTTAAGGCTGAAAGACAATGGCTGCTGCTGGCACTGAGCCTGGGTCTGGGGTCAGATGACTCAGCAACCCCATCCTGGAGCATGGGCTCTGGGTTCAAGTCCTGCTTCAGCCACCCACTAGCTGAGTGACCTTCTACAAGTTACTTATCGTCTCTGAGCCCTGGTTTCTCCATACAATCAGGATAATAATAATGCCTACTTCACGGGACTGTGGTGAGCCTGGTATACAGTAAAAGCTCAATTAATGTGGATGCTGTGTGGTCCTTTTAGCCCCTATGGGGTGTCACTTTCCTCGCTAAAGAGAGTTAATGGCTGTGGGTTTCCAGGGTTGCAGGGCTGCTTCCGTGAGAGAATGGAAGGGAAAGCTCTTTGTAATTGCACAGTGCTTTGATCAGGTAAGTGGTAATTACTCCTGGGTGCGGACAGAGCCGGTGCCTTCTGAAAGAATCTGTTCATGTGGCTCTTCCCCATCTTGGCAGATTGATGCCGCACAGAAGATGCGCCCTGACCCTAACTCTCTGAGGCACCCCCCCAGCCTTCTCAGGAGCAAAGCACAGGGGAGAGAGCTGGGATCCCTGGGGCTCAAAGGCCCCTCAGCTCCAAAACCCTGGGATTCTCTGGGGTCAGCAGGGAGGAAAGCCAAGTTTGGGAACAGGGTCACACTCCTGGGCAAATCGAGCTGGCATCCCCAATCATCCTGCTGGCACCTCTAGCTCCAGCCTGCCCCCCATTCCTAATGATGACTTGATAAGACGAGGGGCTTCCTGCTGGGTCCTCCTGGGGCTCTGGACCTCCACTGCCTGGGAAGGGGGATGAGACATCATGCCCCTCCCCCACAGGCCCTCTGGAGCCCCTCTTCCTCCCCCCAACCCCGGGGCCTGTCTTACCTGATGTCTGAGTCACACTCAGGCTCCTGTCACTGTGAGCTGTGTTGTGACTCCCCGGCTGACAGTTTTACAACAAACACATTAAAAGCTCCCAGCTCTGGGGCTCCTGGATGTGGAACAGCCCGGGAGAAAAACCTCTCCTGGCCTTTCTTCAGCCAAAATTCTTCTTCCAACCCCTCCTCCCCCAGGGGCCTGCACCACCGCCATTAACTGCCTGAGCCCAACACGGGGCTGAGAACTTTTTCATAACCAGCCTTCTCGGGCGATGATTGGCGGAAAGCTGCTTGCTGGGTAGGCAAGCCTGAGCCGTGCAGAGCTGTGGGCCCCAGAGGACCAGGCTCATCCCTCAGGCAAGGACCTATGGACTCGGGAAGGCGAAGATGCAGGGGAAAGAGCAGAGCTCCTCCCGGCCCTGCCTTTCAGGACTGGTGGCCTCCATGAAGACTTACATGGGCACATGACACTGAGTGCTACTATGTGCTGGATGTTGTGTGAATCCTCCCAACAACCCTGAGAGGTGAGAGCTACACTATCCCCACTTCACAGATTTGGAAACTGAGGCTTGAAGAAGTGAAAGGACTTCCCTAAGTCCATAGAGCTAGGAAGCAAAGGAGCTGGGATTTGAATCCAAGTCTGCCAGCTTCCAAACTTTGCTCTTAACAAAACTAACTGCCTCCCAACACACCGGCCCTTCTCCCCGAACCCGAATGGCAGAAACCTCAGGGAATCCAGGGGATCCCAATGCAAACCCAAACTGAATGAACCTGCTCTTTGGGGATGGCCAATCATTCTTCCTACCATCTGAGCCCAACCCACGGGGCCCTCCACACTGCCTTTGTGCCTCACAGACCAAAGCTCCCGTTGCCTTCTGTTCGCCACCAGCAGACAAAAAGCAAACCCCTGAACCAAAGCCGAGAAAAGAGGAGAGACACAGGAACAGTTCTTTTATTGTACATTGGAGAAATAGCCCTGTGTGCTGGTTAAATTAGGTGCAACATCCAGAATATCGAATTAAGAAAAGAGGGAACAGGGGAGGGGAAGAAACCTCTTGAGGTCCAAAGTTGCAAACAAAAAATGGTAAAAGATTTCCTCACGCAGGAGGCATTTTTGCAAATACCATGCAAAACGGGCAGCTGGTGTGCCTTAAGAGAACCCCTATAAATAACAGAAAAGAGACTCCAAGCATTCCTTTACGTGGACTCAGAGCACAGAGAAAGGAAACCAAAATGCCTTTCGGCATTTCAAGATATTTGGCACTCTTGTGATTACATTTTTTTTACAGTCCATTAAAGAGAATAAATTGACACAATATTAGAGAAAAAAACAGGCTGTTCACACACCAGACTGCAAGGAGAGGTTAGAAAAAGCTCAAGCATTTTTTTTGTTTTTTGTGTTTTTTTCCTGACATATAAAATGTGTCCATTTGCATTAACTTGGGCAAATAGCTTGCAGCAACAAAAGAAACACAAGCTTTACGATTCATTTTAAAATAAAACAAGGATTCTTTCTAGGTATCATTCCTTAGAAAAGTTCTCTTCTTGTTTTAAACACATTCCTGATAACTTCAAAGGATGACCAAAATAAAACAGAATATCTAGAGAGATCATTTTCTGGGTTTTTTGTACATCCAAGGATAACAACATAAAAAAATAAAACTGGACAGCATTTCACATCCAAGTGCACAGAATCATTTTTGCAAGATTAAATAATGTAAACATTGGGAACAGCCAAATCAGCAAAGAATGCCAACACCTCAAAACAACCGGTGTGGCGGCTTCATTATTTAAGTGGTTTAAAATCCAGATCTATAATTGCGCAATATTCACTGTATATAAAAAGAAATGGATATTAATTTTGACAAATAGCTGCAACTGAGACTTCTTTTTTATTTCTTTATGTGTATATAGTGATTTTTTTAAAATTTTTTAAAATTTTTATTTTTGCAGAGGAGCCCAGAGCCTTCTCCTCCTCCTCCTCCTCCTCACGCCTCATCTGTCTCCCGGCCTGACACGAGATACAGGTTGTTGATTTCATCGTGGGTAGCAAGCTAGTAATAAATTTCAAAGTGCTTTCTCTTTTCATGCTCCTTTTGCCAATAACTCTTATCGCCGTTCTTATTCTTATTCTCTCCCTTAACTCATTGTCTTTGGGGGAGTTAGACACCAGGAGGTGCCTTGTCTGTCATATTTTTCAGCACGTCATCAATCCTATCATCTTCAATAACAACTGCAAAAAAAAGGAGAGAAAAGGAGAGGTGAGCGCACTTGGGCCTCGCCTGGGGTCTCGGACGTTTCCCGTTACGCCCGGGAGCGGTGCGGCGGGGCGGGGGTGGGGGTGGGGAAGGATTGGAGGAGGAAGAGGGAGGAGGGCTCCCTGCGCGCAGACACAGCCCTTTTCTGCCTCGCCAGGGGTCCCTTAGCGGCTTTCCTCTGAACCGCTCCCCCCACCCGCAGGCTGCGTCCCACCTAGGTTCTAAGAAAAAAGACGTAGAGAGGGCGCAAACCCGCAGCCTGGCTGCAGCCAGGGCGCGCACTGGCCGCGTCCTCACCGCCCCCCTCCCGCCCCGCCCCGGCCACATTTATTTAGAAAGAAGGCTCCGGGGCAGAAGAGTGAGAGGAGGAGGAGCCAAGGTCTCCGGGTGTAGGACCCTCGGGGATGCCCCGAGAGCGGCGCGGGTGGCCAAGGCTGAGTGCGGAGATGCGGGGAGCGAGGAGGGACGCCAAGGGCTGGTTCCCACGGCGCGCAGCTCGTCGAGGGTTCTGGCCTCACCGGGGCAGGCTCCCCCCTCTTGCGCGCCCTCTCCGCGCCGCCCGCGGGCGGACTCGGCCTCCCCGCTCTCCCCGCCTCTGCAGAGGTCAGAGCCTCCCTTCGCCGCCTGCCTGGGGCTCGCCCGCCTCTCCGCGGCTGCCTCTCCCAGCGTCCTCCACCTCTCTCACCATCTCTACCTACCTCGCCTTCCTCAGTCCCCCCATCAGTCTCTCGACGCGACGGTCACCTGTCGAGGGCTCTGGGTCTCTCTCTGTGTCTGGGGTGTCGGTCACCCTCACTGTTTCAGCTGCCTCTCTGTCCTCTCCAGACTTGCGTCCCCGGCTCGCTGGCTCTCCCGCTCTGGCTCCCTCTCCCGAGCTTTGTCTCGGTCTCTGCCCATCTCGGTCTCCTCCCCGCCCCCCGCCTCCCTCCCTATCTCTGCGTCTCAGTCTCTCCCGGCAGCTGTCGGTCTCCCTCATTGTCCCCGCGCCTCCCGAGCTCCTCTCGGAGCCTCTCTGCGTCTCAGTCGCTCCGGGGCTTTTCCGGCTCTTGGCCGAGCGCCGAGGCTCAGCAAACCCCCTTCCCTGCCGAGTAACAATGAAAAAAGCCCGTGCGACTCGAAAGCCCCTCGCCTTCCCTGCAGGAATGGGGCCCTACCCCAAACACAGTTCCCCGTGCCGTCCCTTGGGGAGCCCTGGGACCCCCTCCTCGCGGTTGTAGAGCGGGTGCAGCTGCGACTACACTGCGCAAAAGAGGGGAGCACAGAAATCAAAAAGCAAACTTTGGCGGGGGGGGAGCCGGGTTTAACCTTTCAGCCCCCCCTGCAGCTAGAAGCCGCCACGCCCCCTGGGTGACCCCACCGTGGATCAGGCTGAGCGGGAGGGGTTCCCGCGGCCAGCCCAAGGCGGACCCGCAGTGCGGGATCCCCCCAATTCTACATGATGGGATTCCATTGGGTCGGAACCGGCTCTGGCTGCAGGAGACCCCAGCAAACCTTGGCCAAGCCTCAGTGCTGGAGAAAAGGGGTATCTGCGGAGGGGGCCGCGAACTCACCCCGCTTGCTCCGGCCGATTTGGCCCAGCTTGGGCGGCCGCTTGTTCTGCCCAGCGCCGAAGAAGTTGTTGGTGTCCTGCAGGCGGCAGGAGAAGATCTGGCCCACGTCGCCGCCGTCGCCGTAGGGGCTCAGCTTCTCGTCGCCGTAGGGCAGCACCTCCGACATGGTCGCGTCCGGGGGCTCCGCGGCGGCGCCTCCTCCGCCCGCGTCCCCG